TACTTGAGGGCGAACTTGCACCCAGAGCGTGTAACAGAGAGGAGCTCAAAGAGGATGAAGATAGACGGGTCTTACCATCTATTGGAGCTGCCCCCCTTTGACCACATGTGCTCTAAGTGGGTCACTTGTTGTGCCTTTAGAGCCAATATACATGTGACTTTTAGTTGAGTCACAAGTCTCAGATTGGGCCACAATGAATCCTTTAGCACTTGGCCCATGGTTTCTGTCTGTATTGGGCCCAGCTTGTCTTAGTGGTCCACTCAAAATCACCTGCGCTGGCATGTGATCCTTTAAAGTGTTACACCCGACCTCAATAAGACTGGTTCAGACCCCCTTTGCTTGGTTCTATATGGTTTAAACATTTCGTCCCCTTCTTTCACTGATTTTGAAAGAGTTCTTACCACCTTTTGCTACTTGAGCTTTAGACCTGTTGCCCTCTAGTCTGATACCTTGTTCTCCACGTTTTTGACCTTACACTTGCCTCAACTCTTTTGTGTACTCCAGTCTTACTCTTATTACTGAAAGTTCTATCAACGTTTGAACGTAATTCAGTCCCCCCCTCCCCCAGAAAACTCCAACAAGGCTCCCTCCACACAAGTGAGCAATTGATTCAGCAACATTCTGCTTACTCAAGTGAAAAGGCAAGCCTAGAACACATACCATGACCATCACCCCATCTTTAGTAAAAAATTCTTTAGAGTTAGACATTGGACTCCACTTAAAGATTGTAGTCTCATCATTTTCATGAAAGTCGGATTGAAGACTGACCGCTGAAAGTTCTAATCGATCTTCAATCAGATCAAGAATAGCTTTAGCTAGGGGTGAGCATTCGGTTTCGGTTAAAAACCGAACCGAGTAATCCGAATTTTCAAAAACCGATATACCTATTTGGGAAACTGAACCGAAACCGAACTTTGCAAAAACCGAACAAATTGAATCGAAATTTTTTTGGGTTATTTCGGTTGATTTGGTTAAAACCGAATCTGCTTGCTACTCCCGATCTTTCCTTTGCATTTGTGCAAGTGCATCTGAAATTTACACCACAAAGTTTAAGCAAAGCACTTAATAACTGAAGAATCCAGTGGCTAAAAATTTCCACAGTCCAGATTCGGTGGCTAACAAAAATACCAGGAAGAACTGAAGATTAAAAGGGAAAATGGAAAAAATACTTGTACTTTGAGATTCCAATGGCTAAGAAAAAAACAGGGAGGGAACTAAAAAGAACCGGAAAAATAAAGATCAAAGAAGACTCGCCGGACTCTATCACTTGCTGCTGGAAAAGTTAGTTTGTTGGATGCTGGACCTTGGAGTAGTGGAACTGGAACTCGTAGTTTGTTGCTACTTTGCTCGTCGACCGCTGCAAGGGACTTAGGGCTTTAGTCTTACTCTTTAGAGGTTAGAGGAAGATGAAGGTCGATGGTCACATACTATTGGGTTTTGGCCTAAGGCTAATAACCTTTGGGCTTTTCACTATATCTGTATATTTACCAAGTTATCCCTAAAAGTTCAGTTTTTGGGTTTTGACCAACGGCTAATAACCTTTGGGTTTTCATTATATCTGCATGTTTACCAATTTACTCTCTAAAAGTTTGTTTGTTTGTTTTGTTTGTTTTTTTTTTTTTTCCGGTTAACCGAACTACTAAATCTCACAACCGAAACCGAAAACCGAAGTTTGATAAACCGATTTTTAAAACCAAAACCGAACCGATTTTTTGAAATAACCGAACTGAAAACACCAAAACCGAAAATTCTGTTCGGTTATTCGGTTTCAACTGAATTATGCTCACCCCTAGCTTTAGCAGGTCTGCAATTCTCCTGTAGTCACTTAAACATGATTTTTGGCTTGGATTACATATTTGTTTTCCCATTCTTCTCTCCTGGTGTAGCCAGTCATCCTGCTCTGCCCATTACTTTTCACCATGGCCACAAACTCTTGCTCCAGGTCTTCGTCTTTACTGGATTTTTTGTTAAGTTTTTCTGCCTCCTTCGAGGTCTCAACATTTGCTGTTAGCAGGCATTGGGGGAACTCGTTCATCAGTCTGGCAACTTCCTTCCTCCAAGTCCCTGTCTTCCTTCGAGAAAGCAGACTAGCTGTTTTCTGCCTTTCCCGAAGAATTCAAGTAAAGCTAGATAACCTCTTTTGTTGTTCCTCCTAGTCTCCTACATTCTAATACGTATCTCTTTCCGTCTCCAGTACTCAGTTCCTTCCAGTTCCTTTGCTTACCTTTGGAGCTTGCTTCCATCACAAAGTCCCTAAACCATTTGATCACTTTTATACCTTGCAGCAACAATGTATAGCCTTCTTTACTTCCCTGATTTTCAGACTCAGCACTCCCTTGATTCTCAGTTCTTCAAACAGAAAGTCCTTGGCTTCAAAATTCAAAGCTCTCCTCCATTGCCCTGCAGCCACAAACCCCTCCATCTCCTGAACTTTCTGAAATCTTACAAGTTATTACTAAGATTTAACTTCGCATTTGAAAAGAATTTCGAGGTTGCTTGTAATCATGTCTATTAGGTGGGCAAGAGCACTACTACACATATCTAAACTATTGTCACCAATTTATGCTATAATCGTATCTCTTGTAGTTCACAATCCACATAGAATCAGTAGCTTTCATTGGGTAATATGTCAATTCCAAATTTCCAATAATATTTCGAGCTGGTTCAAAGTGGTAATCATGTTCATTAGGTGCGAAACATCATTGCTACTCTACATCTAAACTACTGTCATCAACTTAAGTTATAATACCATCTCTTGTATCCACATAGCACCGGTAGCTTTCATCGAGGAATCTGTCGATTCCAGTAATATTGCATGTCGATAACCATGGAAATGGAAATATGTTGCAAAATGAAGGGATGAGAGATCCATCCCATGGACGCCCAAAGATTGCGGAATAAGGGGCAAATTTCAAAAATTTTTCTCTCCCTTCAACTGGGAATCGCATTCCCTATTTAGAAAATCATATTTTCAAGGATCATTCTTGAACCTTAAACTGAATCAGATCTGAACCAAAAGGAGTAGGAGAGAATTATACCTGATACGGAGAAGTAGTATCTCCCAACGAAGGTGTTCATGCCCAAGGAAGGATTCAAAAACTGCTCCCACTGAAGATGGTGCAGTGCAGGATGGAGCAGAATCAGTAGTGTTATTCTCCAAGAACTCTGTCCTTCGTAAGAATCAGCAGGATGGTACGTGAGCACAACTTTCTTTCAATCCTTTCTTAAAGAAYTGATGTCAAGATCCAATCTTGACTTCTTCCACAACTGGAGATCGAACTGGCAAACAGGGCGGCAAGAACAGGGAGGCGGCAAGAGAGTATTYGYAGGGWGCAGAATTCTCTCTTCTTGATTTCAGCACTAAAGAAAATCTGATGATTTGTGT